GTACAGTCCCTGCTCCCCGTACAGTCCCTGCTCCCCATACAGTCCCTGCTCCCCATACAGTCCCTGCTCCCCATACAGTCCCTGCTCCCCGTACAGTCCCTGCTTCCCCATACAGTCCCTGCTTCCCCATACAGTCCCTGCTCCCCATACAGTCCCTGCTCCCCATGCAGTCCCTGCTCCCCATGCAGTCCCTGCTCCCCGTACAGTCCCTGCTCCCCGTACAGCCCCTGCTCCCCGTACAGCCCCTGCTCCCCATACAGTCCCTGCTCCCCATACAGTCCCTGCTCCCCATACAGTCCCTGCTCCCCGTACAGTCCCTGCTCCCCGTACAGTCCCTGCTCCCCGTACAGTCCCTGCTCCCCGTACAGCCCCTGCTCCCCGTACAGCCCCTGCTCCCCGTACAGCCCCTGCTTCCCATACAGCCCCTGCTTCCCATACAGTCCCTGCTCCCCATACAGTCCCTGCTCCCCATACAGTCCCTGCTCCCCGTACAGTCCCTGCTCCCCGTACAGCCCCTGCTCCCCGTACAGCCCCTGCTCCCCGTACAGTCCCTGCTCCCCGTACAGTCCCTGCTCCCCGTACAGTCCCTGCTCCCCGTACTGGCCCTGCTCCCCGTACTGGCCCTGCTCCCCATACAGTCCCTGCTCCCCATACAGTCCCTGCTCCCCATACAGTCCCTGCTCCCCATACAGTCCCTGCTCCCCATACTGTCCCTGCTCCCCCCGTACAGTCCCTGCTCTCCCCGTACAGTCCCTGCTCTCCCCGTACAGTCCCTGCTCTCCCCGTACAGTCCCTGCTCTCCCCGTACAGTCCCTGCTCTCCCCGTACAGTCCCTGCTCTCCCCGTACAGTCCCTGCTCTCCCCGTACAGTCCCCTGCTCTCCATACAGTCCCCTGCTCCCCCACACAGCCCCTGCCCCCATACAGTCCCTGCTCCCCATACAGTCCCTGCCCCCGTACAGTCCCTGCTCCCCATACAGTCCCTGCCCCCATACAGTCCCTGCCCCCATACAGTCCCTGCCCCCGTACAGTCCATGTCCCCGTACAGTCCCTGCCCCCGTACAGTCCCTGCTCCCCCACGCAGCCCCTGCCCCCATACAGTCCCTGCTCCCCCATGCAGCCCCTGCCCCCCACGCAGCCCCTGCCCCCATACAGTCCCTGCTCCCCCACGCAGCCCCTGCCCCCATACAGTCCCTGCTCCCCATACAGCCCCCTGCTCCCCCACGCAGCCCCCTGCTCCCCCACGCAGCCCCTGCCCCCATACAGTCCCTGCACCCCCTACAGCCCCCTGCTCCCCATACAGTCCCTGCTCCCCATACAGTCCCCTGCTCCCCATACAGTCCCTGCTCCCCATACAGCCCCCTGCTCCCCATACAGTTCC